GTTTCACCACAACACGATTTCCCAAATCTTTGGCAAGCGCCTCTTTGTGCATTTCCAGCAGTTTGGCCGGCTTAAGCTGGTGTTCGGATCGCAGTATATTCCGACATGCCTGCTTGTGGAGTTCCTTCAAATGGTGGGTTAACATTGATGATCCATTTGGAGATTCGGCTCCAGTTTTTCTATCACTGTTTTCTCTTGTACTAATCATGGAACACTCATGTTTGCCATTGTACATACTTATTTTATTGGAAGCACTATCCTTCTTGTGTACTCTGTATATGGAACTCATCCATGTCACCACATCGATTTCATCCAACACACTCGTGGCAATTTCCTCCGGTGTCTACTGGTTGTATTTTGCCAACATCAGTATTTTTCCTCATTTCTATTGGCAAATTCAATGAACTTACTACGGGGACGGGTATTAGGTCATTGATTGAGTCTTCTAATGATGTGGCACATTTGGCAGGGACATTCTCAGAGAACTCCACGGTTTCAACAACACAAAAGTGGTGTCAGCATGATTCCTCCTGTTGACTCGACAAGGCAAAGTGAAGTCACTCTGGGTGGGTATGACAACATTTTCACTCAGCTGAACTCATACTATTCATATGTTTCCTTCAACTACAGTAATTCACATGGGATCCATTCTCCTTCCAATTGACTGCCATAATGAGTGTGTATGCCAATGTCATTAGTGTGTATGAAATCACATTCAAGCAATACTTTGTCCCGTATCGGTGCAATATATACAGTCTAGCTAAAATCATATTCCTCAATCCTCAAGTACACATTTACAACACCACTCACTTTCATGTTTTTGTCAGCCTCGGCTATTTCCAATGCAACGGGACTTTGCTGCAGAGCAGGACGAAGTTCTTTGGGTAAACTGTGGTAAATTCTTTCTGTTACTTAGGCCCCTGTATCCACAGCAGCTTGAAATTATTTTCTGATTATTTCCAAAGGGGCATGTACATGTATATCCACGTTCACCAGCATGCCTGATATCAGTAATACATTGTTTCCTGACATGTTGCCGGCTGAACCCTGGCTGGTAGGCTTGGCCCTGGTTTCCCTCATGATTGTCAGACGGCAGATTTGTGGGTGGACATTCCTGTTGATCATTGGTTTTACCTTGTGGGCAATATTGCTTAATGTGGCCCGCTTTCCTGCAGCCATGGCAAGTGACTTTCTGTCAATTATAGCTACGGCGTTGTCCTCTGGCTTGGTGGGTGTTGTCTCTTGGATTCAACATTGACTTTATTTCCTTGAGCGCAGGAGCAATAGCGGCATTGACTTTATCAGTCACCTTGGCGGTGATGGTTTGCTTTAGTTTACATGTATGTCCAAACACTTTTAAGCGCTCTTCCGTCACTAGGCATTAACATGTATCACTCATCTGGTGTACTTCTGCTGTTGGTTCCTGTTCCTCACTGCCTGAACTTACGGCAAGTACAGATTTCGCGGTGAAAATTGTTTGAAACTTTCTTGAAACTTTCAGCCATGTGTTTGTCTTTTTTTCAAATCGAGAAGTTGTTTAACCATCACATCATGTCCTATTTGCATATTTGGCAGTCATATCCTGTTTGCGTATCTGGCAGTCCTTGCAGGAAATGTTCAACTGCCAATTTCTCTTCTAGCTCCTTTGGTGCTGCAGAATAGGCATTCATGACATAGGTACGTATACCTTGGCAGCAAACTCAGCCATAGATTCTTTGGTGTTCTGCCTCAGTGTGTGTAGCTGGGCCCCACATTTCTCCAAAAGAACCCTGTCTCCAAACCACTGCTGAAGTGATACCATCATCATAGTGTAGTCATTCTAAATGCATTTGCCAAACTGCCCACAAATTTCATTGCATCATCATGCAGACACAGCTACTTGTACAGCTGTTCCAGGCACTCTTCATCGGACCATCTGGCTTGCAGTGCAATCCTCTTGAAGGGAATTTCAAAATTCACCCAGTCCTCCTTTTCATCGAATGTAACCATCTTTGGTTGCAGCATCTTCCCACAACAACTCACATTTCTTGGTTTACATTGTCTTGTTCAAATTGGTGTTTATGTTAAATGTTCTGTGCATCGATCACATTGATGAGTAGATCATACAGACCTCTTTCTCGCACACTGTTATGATCTTGTCTGTCTGATTCAACTCGTGTCTAAAAGAGTTATGCATGCTTTTGAGATTTCATGAGTTGATTTTTCAGTGATTGTGTCACACTGGAATAAGTTTCACTATTGGCTATATTCAGTTTGTTCGTATTAGCAATTGTCTCATTTGTGTCTCCTACAAAGCAGATGTTATTCCTTTCGGGCCATTTTGTATCATGAATGCGTATCCAGTTACTCAGTCAAAAATTCACAGAATAAAAGCCACACAAATAAAGTTAATAGTAAGAATCTAAGGCAAATACATGTACATGTACAGTATATCTAAAGACAAATATATCCCAAGGGCAGTATCATGATTTTTCCTCAGTCTAATCCAACATGCATTCGTAATATTCCACGGAACAATCCAGATCTCAGTATTCCACTGAATACTCCAAATCACACTAATCCAGAATAAATTTATGTTAGATAAAATCATGGAATAAATCCATATTTAGATAATCCTCAGGAAAATCCAGATCATCCTGTCGCTGCCTCTACTTTTTGTGTATCGCACATGTACATGTAAGTCCGACGCCTCATAGGTCTGACGCCTCAAAAGTCTGAATTTTCGGACTTACGAGTCGCCGGAATAATGAGGCATCGGATTTATGTGCCTTTTATTTTCAGCCTCATAGTTCTGACATCTCAAAGGTCCGACGGCTCATAAATCTTATGTTGGACTTAACATGAGGCGTCAGTGCAATTGACTGTGAAACATGGAGGAGTGGGGACGGCGTCGCCCACAAGCAAGATTCAACTTTATTCCCAACTCGTGCCCATGGTACTGACCCTGTTAGGAAAACTAAGTTAAGTGGACTACCTGCACAGTTTGTACACTGGTCCAGTATTTGTTTAATCCCAAATACCACTTTGTGTAAGAATGATGTATGGTACTTTGCTTAAAAAAATAGCATTTCTCCGATTGTAATACTTTTGAAATCTTAAAAATGTTTGTATGTATCATATGCACACATGGCAGTAATCATTGCATTGTGTGCACTGTCAGTACAGGTCTTGGTGCAAACTTACACATGTATGTAGCTTGAACGCACTGACCAGGCGTATTGTGCGATATCAGGCAATAACTAATAGTCAGTAACTAATCCATGTCATACAATTTCACAACGTTATCATCACCACTTACTGTACATACATGAACAAACCTGTTCAGAAATTAAGATAGGAATTATTGCTTTCTTTAAATTTTTAGGTGGCTAAGATTTACTGGTTGTTCATGTCTGTCAAAAATGCTGACTTTTGAGATGGTACATCTTTGATCAAGATGCAGGATTGGCATGGTCATTGGTGTTCCAAATTACTTTTTTCAAAGGTTGTGCATTTATTCCATGCTGTTCACCTCAGAAAATAGGAACACCCCAAATTGATTATAATAAATGGCTCATTCACAGTGGTTTAAAACCCTACTTTGACCCAGACATCAGTGAATACCATAAGATTATTTTCATTCACATCAATTAAAACAATTTAACAAAGCTTTAGAACTTATTTAGAGTCCTCGTGGGCTTTCAATTTGGCTACAGAAAGACACTTTTTCAATGGATGCATTGGCAAAAGCACATTATTCTTGATCGCCGTGAGTGACGGTGCCCTCTATTGACAGATATTTAAAATTCTGGAAAGAGCAGACACACATCCCGTGGCTACCGCAGTTTTGAAAAAAATTCTGTGATCATTGTTAAAAGATGATCACCTCAGTTTGGAAGTGAGATCATTATTCATTTGTATTTCATTGCAGTATAACGGGAAAGGAAGAAATCGAGGGACTTCATTTCACTTTCACTTACATTTCTTTCAACTGCTTTTCAGTTTAAATTCCACCTATGCTATGTTATAACCCTCATACATGTACATGTACCTTTACGACTAACCTTCCCACACAAAGTCCACACAATTACAACAAAGTCGATGGCATTCAAGTGAATGCGATGACACTACTGAGCACTAGGCCCAACGTCATCGGCGGGAATCGCCTGCAGTATACTCTCCATATCTTAACAATAGAGGGCACTGTTCATTGCATTCCAAACAATGTCAAATCCTGCGTGGTGACGGCTTAGAAAGTTGATTTTTGTTGGCACAATGATGAATTGCATGACCAGTTTATGAATAAACTAGACATTTTTGGCCTGGCCATTTATGGCCGATTGTAAAAATGCATCAACAAACAGGTTGATGTGTATTTTTCTTGTTTGGTACTCTTCATACTTTACTGTGAAAGGTAAATGTGAATTTCTGCACTCTGTTCAATAGTTTTCGAAAGCAAATTTGTATCATCCAAAAGAGTGTCTAACAAGCTACATGTACAAAATGATGCAAAGGTTTCTATCTGAAGATATAATTTTGTTTTGAAAAGCAATATTTTTGTTGACATTTGACAACTACATGTATGGTAGGTGTACCTTTCTTCAAAAGAAAAAAGCTAAGGTGCGTACTTCAGTGGAATATACATGTACGGTGAAACTATTAAGAAAACAAAATAATTTTTGGGGGAATGCTGTCTCATTAGATACTACTTACATAATATAACTGACTAAAAGCATAATATCAAGGGGGGAAATTATGAAATGTCTGGGTCTTAAACCACTGTGTCATGTTTGGTAGAACCTGCCATATGTATTTTATGTAAAGTGTTGAACTGTGGATGTTTGAAAAAAAGAAATTGTGGTAAAGCTTCAAGAGAAAAAAAGGAAAAGTGGAAAGGGGTATTGTTATTCATCAAACTGCATTTTCCCTGTTAGAGGGATTTGATATTCTGTGTTGCTTTGTATTAAGAAACTTGTTAATGATGAGGTGTACATGTAAATCTACCTTTGTCTTTTGAACAGAGAGTGTGGCACAAAGTATACTCAAGCAGTATCAACAACAAGCAAGTACATACATATCAGTTAAAGTGAAATTGCTTCAGCTTCTGAGTCAAGTTGCCCTTACACCAGGTTTCCGTGTTGCAGCTCTAGCAGGAGAACTACTGACTCTATTAACATCAACAGGTCAGTTGTACATTCACATACACGTACATGTACATTAATAAAGTGTAGTTGATGATTGTCAATACTGTTATATTTACAAATAGGTCATTTGGGGGACATTTTGTGGTAAATTTTTCAGCATTAGGGAGATACTGGCTTTTATGGAGATATTTCAGTGTCTTCCTACAATGTATTTTCAAACTACCAGAAGGAGGCCGAATTTTACCGTCCATATTTTGAGGGATGATAGTTTAGGGCCTAAAATGAAAACAAACAAAGTTTGGTTCATATCAGATTAGGGAATATTGAATTATGGGACAGTAAAGTTGGAAAAATTTTGTGCACGTTCTTATGGGAATATCTCCCTAATAACCCATTAGCGGTAATAATTATAATTATTGGTTTGTTTGATGAACTCATGTGTTGTGGCCAAATTGTACATGATTTACAATAAAATTGAGTTAAAAGACAATTACACTGTCAGTGTATTAAAACAGCCCGGATGACATGGGCACGGAATTGACGTCTGCGTTGCCTTTCCAGGGTGGTAGGCCAATCTTTATTAGCAAATTTAATTTCAGAGCCAGCCCACCCGGCATTCGTGTCCCCGTAATACAGGTGGTGAGGCCGTGTAGGGGGGATGAGTAGATGAGAGGCACATCCCCTAATGTCCCTCGTCCCCTCTAAATACCTTTCTGGCAAGCGGACGTCATCAGAGTTGCAGGGAAAAAGTGTCAAGGGGCTGGAAGGTGTCTGATTTGTAAGGAGCCATAATGTATGAATGAGTTGAACCCCAGTCAAGAGTGGCCACCAGATACGGAGAGAACTTTGATGTTGTAGCCGCTTCATGGAATAGTGACATCAAGGAGGAATGCCAGCTTGATTCTTAAAAGGGATGGGCGTTGCTGGGAAGATTTCTTGTGAAACATGCATCCACGCATAAAACAGACATATCTGTACCTGTACATATAACAAGAAAACACATCTGCATAATTTCAAAATGCACGGAAATATGTTAAAAATTATAGGTTTCACGACTAAACCTGTTCGATATTCCTTTCTTTTCATATCGCGATATCATGAAAAAATATCGCGATAACCAATATTATCATGATGACGTCATGTTCCATTCATAAAATAAACAGGACTGAAATCTCTTACTGAAATAACCACCATGTCTTGAGTGCCACGTAAAAAATGATCTACACTGTATGTATATTATCTCTATATTTATAACTCTAATACTGGTGGAAAGCTAATTTCAATATGAAACCTGTGGACAATAAATTTTCATACCATATCACATCATTTCACCTTACGAAAAAAGCCATTCCCACACACACATCAGTGGTAAAGTTTGCAGAAAACCCTATTCCGGTAGTGCGCGCGCACGCTGGTACTGTACATTTGCTCAATAAGGCAACCCCCAAAATGGACAGAGCGTATGCGTGTTACTAGAGGGGCTACTGGCATTGATGCCCTCACAGTGAAGTGGCAGACAACACGATTCTGGCAGCGGGTGCACGCGGTGGTGCTGTATACGTGTATTTTGCTCAATAAGGCAACCCCCAAAATGGACAGAGCGCATGTGTGTTTGCTAGAGGGGCTACCGGTATCGATGCCCTCACAGTGAAACAGCGGAAAACCCCATTCTGGGCGCGCGCTGGTGCTGTATATTTTGCATTGCATAAGGAAGGTACAAACATTATTAATACAATCATGGAGGAGTAAAACTTCACTGTGTTGTCACCTGCTTGTAATCCCCTGTTTATGTCTACTATGAACACAGTAACAAAATGCGTACACCGATCAAAAACTAGAATTATTTTAATGTGTTCTCAGCTTCTCATTAGTTCTTATCCTTCACACTTCAACTAAACTACACATGTACATGTACCATCACGAAAGACACTAATTGTACAAACAATGAACACAATGAGTTTTGGAAAAGGAAACAAGAAAATGACCCAAGGACCATCTTACTCTGAATATTTGGACTCATCAGTTACTGTTTTCCATTATCTCAGGTTACAATTTATAACATGTAACTTTATGTACTAATGTACACGCATGTGTATCAAGCCAAAGCAAGGTGGAAAAGAAAAACATTCTGACCATGCATGTTACTGAATGTAGGTGAAAGGTTGATTTGGCGACAGTGACACTGCGACATAAAAATGGCTCATGAGAGAGACACCAGCAAACAAAAGAATTGGAGTATATGTGGAACACTTTCAACACGAAGTTGTGTGCTACAATATGAAGTTATCGGATAATCACAAATTGTGAGCTAAGAAGACAAGCATGTTCACTTTCTTCTGCTTCAAGACTGATCTCTGAGGGGGTCACTACATTTCCAGCAGCACTAAGCACATGCTCTGATGGTTAACTGGTTGCACAGATGCAGAGGTATTTCTTGGCAAGTTTTGCCAAGAGCGGAAAGGTGAATTGGTGTTTCGGCCACCAGACCAATGGGCTTGTGTCCCCACTGATGACTTCAGCTGCCAAATAGCACTGGAGTTCCCATTGTGCTGAATAATGAATTGGCATTGCTGCCAATTCTTCTGGTGCTGGGCCGGCTGCGGCTTTGCCCAGGATGCTCCCCAGTGTGTGGCGTTTCTTCTGTTGTGGTGTTTGAGCATGTGATGCACCGACATCTTCAGTAAAACACAAAGGTCTGGCGGCCTCAAGATCGGCAATCTCTTGGATAACCTGATACTCGGTGTGCTGCAGATTCTGTTTTTCGATGGGATCCCCACGATCTCAACAATTCTGCAATTTTTGTTGTTGTTGGTTTTTAAATTTAAAAAAAAAAATCTTTGGGTAAAAGTACTTCCAAGTCAATTACAGTTTCGATAGCAGTTTGTTTGATTGTAAAATTGCAGAGTTAATTTTAATCAAGTTATGTACGTCATGCACAATTACTTTGTTGAATTATATATATAACGG